TAAGTCCGATTTTATAGAAGTCTATGAGAAAATGACCCTACTTCCAACTTGATTTCTTATCACAGCAAAATGTTACTTCCCTTGTCTCAAGAGACTAGTAGTCTTTTTTTTACTACAGCATGATGGGAATTTAATGAATTATTGTCCCATTTAGAAGTAAAATAGACGATAACCCAGTTAATCATCTGGTTTAGGGCGTGGCTATCTTGTGATTGACATTACGCTAGCACTGCCTCTTTGGTTTGGGTGTTAAAGTTTAAGCCTTTCACAGTGGGATTTCATTTCATTCAAAGTATCTGTACCATTTGGATAACTTCAAATCAAATCAAGTTTTATTTATATAGCACATTTATAAACGATTTTTGGTCGAGCCAAAGTGCTGTACATATAATAAAAATAGCCTACAGTAGAGACACTTTACAGCAAATACAACAGCACAGATTGTTCAGAATATCAGTATGAGAAAAACGACACCCTCTATCCTTAGACCCCCACATCGTACAAGGAAAAACTTCCAGAGAAAACCCACAGTTTAAGGGGAAAAAATGGGAGAACAATGTCTTGTCTGCTGTTCAGTTGTAGCTCCCTCCTCTTGTCCTCTTTGAATTGACAAACCTCCCTTGTGACTGCAGATCTAGAACCGTAATGGAAATATGTCGGATGCAACCTATAAAACACAGTTATGATGAACTCAATTTGTGTATTGGAGCTGTTTCTATTGACCAATGCAGCAATTAAGCTGGTCCCCTGACACAGCAGAATGGTGGTACAACTGAGACACGTCCATTGTAGACAAACCTAATTTACCATCAAGTCAATCTGCTTTGCTCGAGCCTCACTCCAGGTTGACGGTCGGTATCGGGGGATAGCACTTTGGTATTGGATCTCCTTCTTTTTTTTTAAGGCCGCTAAAAAGACAGGAAGCACCGGTTGAAGCTGGACTAATTGATCCTGAGATCAATACAGGGATGCAGCTATAACTCGCTCCAGATGTGCAGGCGGTTCATTGATCAACGTGATACCTCCATCCCTTCCTCTTCCCACTTGCCCTCCCCAAAAGAGGCATTCATGTTCTGCCTTTGATCCCCACTAGGTGACGTGCATTTGTAAAAAAAACTATACCAAGCTGATTAAACAGAAATTCCTCTATTCAAACTGTTGTCTCTGTGCTCGTTAGGCGCTGAATGTTGTGTCTCTTTGGAGTCGTTGCATCTACGAACACATTTGTCGGACTGGTCGGCTGGCCTGCGGCTCGCTCAGAGGCTGGTGGTCATGAGCTCCTGTTCCACATGAACAATGCCAGCCCGCCTGCTAAATGCTGATTGGGCATAATTAGGGGTTAGTGATGCGGTGGAATTACAGTGATTACAGTCATCAGATTCCCGTGGAGAGTCTCCTTCCTGTCCAACGCAGCCACTCCGACACATGCAGCCTGTTTAGAGAGAAATGCACAAATCTGTGTTTACACTAACGGGATCATTAACACAACGATTTTTACTATAGTTTTTCCAGGAAGACTTACAATAAAATAACATTCTCTCTAGTCTGTGATGTTGTTTTGCCTTGCAACCACATTCTTTAATTTAAAAAGCAAACACAGCCTCTGCACATCCTGTGTAATGGACCTGAACACATGACACTGTCCTCAAGTGATGAGGCTCGTTTTCTGGTTGTATCGGTTGAAAACCCTTTCCTATACAACACTAACACGCGGACAGTATCTCTACATCTGGGAAATCCTTGCTAGTATTTTGCTCTCAGGACACAAGGGAAAATAATTGGTAATGCATTCATAACCTAAATCTAATGATGACTAACATATATGTCGTGCTAAAGTAGTATTAACCCCTTTTGCAAACACCTTTTTAACTTTTGAACTAGTTTGACTTTACAAAAAATGTCTTCACTTTTTAAATAATGTCCTTACTGATAATGTAGTGATACTCAACCTGTGTTGTCTGTAATATTAAGTGTTTGTATGTCTGGGGGTTGAAAAGGGATGTAAATCAAAGTAAAAACACCATGGCTCTATCAAACTGAATTGAATCTGCTTGGAGACGAGAAGCCTCCATATTTGGACATTTATCGATTGACATTAATGTGACAAACAATACAACATTGATTGATGGAAGTGCAGAGACAACACCACAATAGTACCTTGCATGAAAGATTGACATTCAAGAAAAACATTAGATTTATAGATTGACACATATTCAGCCGTTTTAAATGAGCAAGATAAGGAGGCGTGTGGTGCAGTGGGTTGAGCGTTGGTGTTCGGATCAGGGGGTCACAGGTTTAAACCCCACTGCAGTCAGCATGTCGTTGTGTCCCTGAGACACTTCACCCCAAATTGCTCCTGTGGGGATTGTCCACAGTATTGAGTATGTAAGTCGCTTTGGATAAAAGCGTCTAACAAATGACATGTAATAAAAGATCCAGGTTGCCGATAGTACAAAGTCACACACAAACATCAGCACACACACCAACTCGGACTCTTAATTTTCATTCACAGACATCAATCCAAACACTCTTTATGGATCAATGAGAAAACTATGCATATCATTAAAGCAGTCTGCTTGTCAGGAGAATCTTATAGCATGTCTCTTTTACCCATTTATTTGAGGATGATGAGGTCTCATGTGACGCATTCAATTAGCTAACAACAAAGCAGGTGCTGTTTATGACTGCTGGAGTCCAAACTGATCACAAGCCTTTTAGACACCTGTGTGAGGCCTTAAAGTTGAGAGTGATACTTCAATGATATTATTTGGCTGCACCATCTTACTGGGGTAACGCAGTTTTAAACTGTTGGACATGCACACGAAAAGCTGCGTTAAAGCACTATCACCTGTTGTAAACAACAACGCAACATAAACTAAATCCAATAACAATAAGAAACTATACAAAAATGATGGTTTCAAATGAATATGCAATCTGTCTTGCCAAAACTATGTGTCTAAGTGGCTCTTATAGATATATTGTGGTTTGAGAATTATATTAGTTATTTATGTCTCATAGCTGGAAGTAATACCCACTCTTATAAGCCAAATGATATCCTCGTTTTATGCAATCACTTTAAAGACAACTAATGCAGTATCAAGTCCTCTCTAACATCAGTTTTGTCATCAGTGAACCTCCATACATGCAAGACTTGAGACAGCAATACACGTGCACTAAATGTGTGTTTGCAGGTGTGTGAGGAAGAGGCTCGTCTGCAGAGCTGATGCTGTTCCATCAAATGGCAGCTGTCTAACCTGTGCTGTCACATATGTTTGATACCCCATGATGCAAGTGGGCCAATTAGGGGGTCCCAAGGGAGGGTTTTCAGACGTGTAGGTTTGCTAAACACACAATGCTGTTAATGTTTCCTCGGAGGGGATTTAGACAGATTGCTTGACAGTGTCAGATGGGAGTCAGCAGGTGCAGAAGTGTAGATGAGAGATTAACCTTTGAGATACAGTCCAACAACTAACTGCTGCAGGATTCATAATATTAATGCATGTCTCATTGGGTTAAACTAGAATGTTCTGGTTCAATTATATGAAATATTGGAAATAAACTCCCTCTGGAGGGAACTTTGGGATTTCAGCCTTTGCAGACCATTTCACATGCACAACAACCTATAGAGCACACTACAGGAAAGAGAAATAGCAGGGCCTCTTTAGGTTATTGATGTTGAACGTCATGGTGTTTTAACCACCTTTTTATATTTTCTTAGTGCTTCTTAAGTGATTCATATTCTCAGTTTGTATTGACTAGGGGTTGGGAGCCCTCGGAGAGTCACCAGATTATTGAAGTGATAGGAAATAATAAATAAATATGTCACTAATTGTAAATCTATTGTCCCAGATTATTCTATATTTTTATTGAAATACTTAATTATTTTCACACTTACAATCCTTCAAGTTATAGCAACAGACATTTTATTTATGGGATGTTTGCATGACATATCATTTATTATTGAAACCTGAGCTCGACTCATAACAGGACATGATAAAAAGGAAATGATACTTAAATCCATATGATACTATTTAAAGCTATGAGCCTTTATATTCCCCCAGTCAATACTGAGGCATCCTCAGTGCAGCTTTGTTTTCTGATAAGTAGGCTGCAGTACAGTGATGGCGTTGGGTTGACAGACAGACAGAGCAGACATGATGTTCTGCTCTCAGTCGCTCCGGTCGGGGCCTTATGGCTCCTCGGGGCCCTGTTAACCTTTTATAAAAGATAATGAGCATCCAAAGGGAGTCCTGCTGAGGGACACACTGTTCACTGTAACACAACACATTGTTATTAGTCACTTCATGGTTGCTCAATCTGCCTTGTTTTCTGTGACGATGGTGCCTTTCCTAATGGGAAAAAAATACTTTCAGGGTGCTAAGCCTGATTTGGTGTATTTACTTTTTACAAAGGGAGACTTGTATGCTAATGCATTATCGATATTATTAAGAAAGTTGTACATGTTAAACTCGTTATTAAAACAAATAGAAAAAGTAAAAACATTGAATAAGTGAGCAAAAATGATGATACAAATCTTATAACTATATATTCGTCTTTTTAAAACATGCTGACTAATGTCTTAACTCAGACTGAAGATGCTGTTTCTCTCCCTTTTTAACTCACCATGAAAAACAATGCATATCTGTGAAGTGTCTGAGCTGTTGCATCCCTTCTTTAATTCCAAAATGCACTCTTATCAACTATTTTGCAAGATCTGCTTTATAACAAAGATACAGAAGAAAAAAAGATATAAGCTTTCAAATGTAGCCTACAATAAAAACGGAACATGCGGACTAATGTCTTAACTCGATACGTGCTATATTTCATCCACATGTGATTCATTACACAAACATTATACTGTAGCCTACATATCATAATTGTTTTGAGCCCCGAGCAGCAGCAGTCACGCATGCGTCCTCGCGCTCCGGTCAGGCAGCGGGGATCAGCCTCCTCGCTCTCAGTGCGCCTCGAGCAGCTAGAGCGCGCGGTTACAATGAGCTTCTCCATCGGTCCGACACAGTGCCAGCGACAGTACCGACCTCCGAGCAGCACATACAGCGACACACACCCTGAGCCACTCCAGGTCCGCCCGCAGCAGGATGCCCGGGGGAAAGAGAGGGCTGGTGGCACCGCAGAACACTTTCCTGGAGAACATCGTCCGGCGATCAAGTGGTGAGTCTGCGCGCTGGAGTGAGGCTTGTTTGGGGTTGATTTCCATCCGGTTTGGACCCGTACTCTGCTGGAATACAGTGTTTTTATACCAGGAGCTTTGGTGGAGGAAAACCCCCTCAAAATCTCACTTTATACCCGCATTTATTCTGTTGTGATGGAGTTTACCCCCTTGGTAAGGCTTCGTGATGGTGTTATACATCATCATAAGTTACTTTAAACTCGTCTAAGTTACATGTTGATGGATTTATTTTCCACTGGGACCACCGTGTGTTGCAGTCTTGAGGAAAATTGGATAACATTATTATTCATAACCGCAAAATGCTCACTGGGAGTCACAGTTTACGCACCGTTGTATTTCCCACCTCATCATTTTGTTAGTCTTTACGAGATCCAATTATGTCTTCAGATCAAGTGAGTTGAAAAAAAAGGGTTAGGATTTTTAAGAAGATTAAAAGTTTATTTTCCCCATTAACTTGCTCATATGTCATAATACATATTGACAGGTTCTCAGACAATACGTTGGAACCATCTGATTATAAATGAACAATCAAATCGTTCAGGCTCTCTTATATTTGTTATTTATTACAAGGTGTCTCCAGAAGGGAGTCACGTTTTGATAATAAACCTCCTTAATGTGAGCTCCGTCATTATGTAATACAGCTGCATTGTGTTTACGTGAACAAAGTGAGGTAAATGGGTAAATAATGAAATAGCGGTTAATTTGATTCATTATCTTAATGTGTTCAGTATTACTCAGGTCCATTTTTGTTTTATGAGAGCACAGAATGTTTGTGTATGTCTCCATCTGCGCTATTAAGTGCGCATGTAGGACTTGGCACCGGTCTGAGAAATAGGTTCTCCTCTGATTAGATTGATTTCTTCTTTATCTTCCCAGAAAAGTCAGCAGCGTAATTGACTGGAATGAAACTCCGGGTTGTAGATGGAGGGAAGTGTTTCTGTTATTGTCTGTGCTTCCGGATGTTATCTGGATCTATTGGGAGTTTCAGCAGCAGTTGGTTTCTTTTTTATTAAGTCACTCAAGCAATACCATGGAAAGGTGTGAGATCTTTATTAGACTTTTCAGTTCTCTCGGATCAGATGCTGCAGCTTTTCGAGTTTGGGATTCTTGGGACCTATTATGTAACATGGACCACATGGAGTTTATGCTATAGGGTTGACGTTTCTTTGCCTGTTGCTGTATATAAACTACAGGGCTGCAACAAAGTGTTATTGGTTATTTCTAAATCAAATTTATACCAAGTATGCAGGAAAAAGATGCTTGTTAATAAACATCAAAACAAGTAAAGACACAAATAGAGAGTACAAAAGTATCTACAGTATATTTCCAAATAAACAGTCTTTTAAGATGCACAAATATTTGATTTAAATAGTTGCTTTGAACATGGAAGCAAGTAAAACATAATGTCATAGTTGCAGGCTGGTCCAGATTAACCCATAATGGTGTAATGAACACTAAACGCTCCCTTTTCAGTATGGATAGTTTAAGTCTCCTGATGTTTTTGAACATTGTTCCAGAAGCTTCTTCACTTTTCTCCAGGCAGCCGGATTGGTCGCACTTCGGCTCAGCTAAGAAATTGGTTGTGATAAAAGAGGAGAGCAGGAAAAGGTCAAGAAAATTCAGTTTATGTAAGTCTTAGTCAGCTCTTTAATACCAAAGGGCAAACGAGAAGCTGCGGTCGGCAGCTTTTTACACTTAAAACAAGACAGTAATACATTTAAGAAACAATAGTTCCTTTTTGTTCTGAAATATCACATAAGTAATTGTTTGGAAAGAGAGGTGGAGAACAGATGAAGCTGCTTTTGTTCTGGATGGTTCTGCTTAAAAAGGTGTGACCCTCTCACGTCTTACCCACAATGCAGTGCACTTGTCTGAATCAGAAAGCAATATTTCACATCAAGATAGAGTAATCAGGTTTTCAACATAAAAAGAGGAATTAAATACTAGGAAGGTAAAGTCGGCCCTGTGGGTGAAACAAGAGACCATATTGTAATCTAAGTCTAAAGGGTTTATCCTGTGTACGGTGGCCAATTTAGGACATTTTGAACACACTGCCAGGGCCTGCTCAACTTTAATCAGACTAAGGCAGACTTTGTTTGATTCACTGAAGTGTACTCAGGGCTGTTTGCTTTCAATTTTGGTTAATCTCCAGAGAATTGTCTCAAGTAATTGGCAATCAATCAATTGGTCAGAGAATAGTGGAAAAAACTGTTCTAGGAGTTACAACCACTTACTTTGTCAAAGAAATGGTGCAAAAGCTGTTACAACTGAGACGTTATTCCTCTTTAATTTGACATTTTTGCTTTACCATTTCTCCAAACATGAACTGATAATGAAACTATTTGCTGATTCGTTTTCTGTACATCAACTAATTGGTTGGGCCCCCTTTAACTGCAGTAAACAAAGTTTCCTAGTGACAGGACAGACAAAAACTTGTGAATGCATGGAGACATTAAAACCAGGAGAAGTTTGTTTCAAATACTGATTTAAAAAAAGAAAAATCCAGACAATAAAGTAAACCAGTCTCTTCTTCTGCAGTTTTTCAGTGTGATCCTGTCATCCTCTTCTTACACCTTCATGCGGTTAATTAACTTTATAAAAGGTCACCGCTTACTTGCTCTAAAATACCATGTTAGTTTTCCCGTTATGTCACATGATGATTGGGGGAGGTATGACGGATATATAGAACCAATTGGTTACTTTATTAGGAATCATAACTGTGAGGTTTGAACATTTTCATTGGAGTTATTATATTTTTATAGCCTCAGATCACTGCCTAGTAAAATCAATCAGATGCTGTTGGAGAGTTTTACTCTTCGGTCTGTAACCCTGCCTGACGGAGCTGCTGACACATCGTCATTCCTGCGTCTGTGTTTCTCTGCAGGAATTTTAGTGTAGTTTCTGAGTTCAAATGCTGTTTCACAGGTTTTTCATCCCTGCTTTAACACATATTGTGGGAAACACGGCATGCTTGTAATGTTTCTGGGCATGCACACATTTAAAGAGCAGTTTCATCCCATTTTCTTCATCCCAAAATGAACTCAGCCAACCGGTTTTTGGAAAGAGGAGACTCTTAGTAGTGAATGATTACCTGCCAAAGTTAACAGTACAGCAGATTTGGCTCGTGTTAAAGAATAATATCTGCAGTCTTAGTTCATTAATGACACACTGGCATACCTTTGTTATATACTCCTGTGGGCACTTACACAGTTTTGGCTTATTGGAAACCAATTCTGTAGCACCTTATTTGGCCTATTAGAGGCTCAAATACTTACAGGAGTTTCTTTATGGTTTATTGACGTGTTATCAATGTGCAGTGATGTAGCTGGAACAGGAAGTGATTTTAAAAGTCTTATATGTTTTTGGGGAGAAACTCTTACCTGCAGATCATTTCTGGAACAAAACTTGGAAATTCATATAATTGTTGTCACCATGTTTGTTGTATTGTTTTCCTTTGGGTCTACTTGTTGCTCATTCAAGGACAACAAGTGACACTTCATAGTCTGTTGCTAAAGTCTCCTGGGGTTTGATTACACAGCAGCTGAGTCTCAACTTGAATGTGGAGTGTCCTTAAACGCACCGAAAGGAGAGTAATTGCAAGTGTATAGTCACACTACGAAAAAGCTTCGTATTTTGGTTTATAACAGCCTGGATCCTATTTTGGTATGCTTGGGCCATCGTCATAACATTGTACTCAGGGCTGTATCTCCCATTAAAGTGCTTTTGTAAGTATCATAACTGGTAATTTGGGGGTTTACGGACATGAAGAAGAGTTAACCTGCATGTTAGATTTAGCTGGTCTTTTTTTAAACAAAATACCTTTTTTAAAGCCTATTTTACACCATCTTATAAGGAGATATTTTTCACAGAAAATGTAGAGTAATTAAATAATGTAAATGGTCGTAGTGATTCTGCTCTGGGGAATTAAAAAACATTACTTGTTTTTTCATACATTTGCTGTAGCATTGTTATACCCTAGGTTAATCGCTGAAATCACTTACATTTTTTTTTTATACAAGCCCACAAAGACAAAATAGTTACATTATTTCCCTTATTTTTGGTTGGAAACATCCATCACAGTTATTGCAGACGTGTGAATCTAGTTTTCCTGTGAAACTAGTGTGTTCACTTATATTTTCATCTCGAAAGCAATAAGAAGATGACCCAGGGGGTCGCTGTGATAGATTACCAAACTCATGCAAACAAAATCTAAGTCTCTGTAGATTGATTTTCAGCCATCTGAAGTCATATTGCATTACTTTACAACACTGCAACGTAGCCTATAGCTTATGAATGTAAAGTGAAATGTTAAACAGTTACACCCACCTGTATTGTCCTCCCTGGTGACCAAGCTACCCGCCATGCAGAATATATAATTTCATTTCATTTCATTTAATCGTGTATTTGCATGGGGACAATGCACATTAATGAACACTTTAGACAAATAATGCTTCAAGTGTAAATATGCCGGATTTGAGCTTTGAGTCTCATTTCCATCCGTAGTCCCTGACATACAACATATAAGAACATCACATTTATAATTAATATCCATGTGATTATAAATGAGCTGGTGGTTATTTTTCCACTGCAGATGTTCTTCACTGTAGCCACCGTCAGGCAAGAGGCGTGGCAGATTTATGTTAATGTTGGTGAATATCTTTGCATAGGCTATAGGAGATGCCTAATATAATTTCCGTCCTCACAGTTTATACAGTATTTCAGCTTCAGCCTGAAGATTGTTTTTTGCTGCTTGAACTATGCTAATTCTTGGTCAATAAATACAAGTATAAGATCAGGTTAGTATGATTTTGACCACATTTTTGGACATTTTGATCCACCTAATGGTGATTTCACAATTCAAATTGACAAAAAAACCCTGACAAACACCACTACCACATCTTACTAAGGCACATTTTTTGAACTATTTCTTTACATTATAACGGTCATCAGTCAATTCATCTGTTTATTTGTATATATTGATTGTTGTGTTTTTGTAATCTTAATGTGTGCAAAATGTGTCCTGTTGATTGTGTATATATCTGTCTACTGTATATAATTTTACATCCGGGATTGTTTGAAAACGTCATTTCGATCTCTCTCTGTCTGTAAACACAAACTTGAGTAAGATTGACATTAAAGTTGACTTGACTTTGAGACAGAAATTGTGTCTCTCAGTGAGATAATAAGAATAAAGCATAATTTTAAAGTGAGGTTGTTTACTTCAAAATACTTTCTGATACTTTTCTGAATATTCCTTTAGTTTTCATAGAAGATCAAATAAACCTATGAGAAGGTAGAGTAGCAAGAAAAAGAGGACAGAGGGCTTTTGCTTTAAGAAGGCAGGGGCTTTAAACCAGCCTGTAACAAACATGGCTGACATTTGCAGATTAGATTTAAATCTGTGATGCCAAACTTAAATCTGTGCACAAGTTGTATTTGAATATTACTTAAAAAATGCTCTATAGGACGAATTATTAGCAACTTTAACAACCACATCAATAGAGAGTTTATATTGATCAGGGTTTAAAGTTGGTGTAAGTTTAAAACAAGGACTAAACCAGGACTCAAAGAGATGTTTTTTTTGATAAAGCAAGTTTAAATCTAAGTTTCGGTGCAACAGATTGTAAAATCAACCCGTATTACATCCTTACTTCTGGTCGGTGTGATCATAACTCTTTGTTTCATAATAGCTCTAGAGTAGAGACAAGTATAACGAGTGTTAACATGCCTAAAACCAAAGATGTGAGTTGCTTTGGTTGTCCCTTTTTCTTTCATTTCAAATCGTATTGTATATTATATTTTGATCTGACATAACAAATCCATGTACAATCTTCTCAAGAGGTTTAGAAGCTTTTGCAGCCTTTTATCTGTTTATCCTATTTGATGCTGACGCGTTTCTCTGGCTGTCCCGTCTTCCAGAGACCAGCTTCCTCCTGGGCAACGCGCAGATCGTGGAGTGGCCCGTAGTTATACAGCAATGACGGATTCTGCAAGCTGTCTGGCTTCCACAGGGCTGAAGTCATGCAGAAGAGCAGCACATGCAGGTAAAACCATTTATCTGGTTGTGTTGTGTTTTATAACTGAACCTTAAAGCAGTGCTAAACATGCATAGCTTTAGTTGTTTATGCAAAGTAATGATAAATTAGTGTGCTAATGGAGCGATAAGTGTTGTTGCTTTCTTGTAAGTGCACTCACAGCGTAACTAAATATGCAAACACTTTCATGTGTATACATTACTAACATTAGCATTCACTCTTTTAATGAATCTATGTCTCCTGTAAACCCCTGGGTGTTTTATTTTCTTAATGGTATTAATTCTTCATTTAAAGTGGAACTAATAAGAAGCTTTACAGCACCAGCTTCCTTTAAGTTAAAACAACACTGTGACAAAGTGTTCTTTTTAAAAGTGCTCCATTTATCATGCAGAATCCCCTGAAATGTCCATTTTGTATTCAGTCTTCATCCATTATTCAAGCAGTGTCGTGAGAGAGGGAGAGTGAAAAGATCAAAAAGTGACGATCTCTTGTACCTTCCTGCTTCTGTCGTGATCATTAAAATCATCGCACTGGAGAGCAGTTTACCGGATATTTAGTGTTTCACGTCTTGATCCCTATACTCCTATATCATGCAAAGACGAGTGATGCTCAGAAACTCAGACTGTAAAGACGAGGAGATGAAAAAAAAGATGGCACACCGCTGTGTTGGTGTCAGAAATGAATCCAATTTCTTCCTGTCCATTTGAGGACGGTGTCGTTCTCGCCTGTCAGTCAGGACGTTTTTTTAATTCGACTCCAAAGGATGACTCCCATCCACCGGTGTCTCTCACATCTGACCTGGGGTGAGAGCCTGGACTAGTCAGCGGCTAAAAAGGCTCCTTAAGACTCCGAGTGAGAGCAGTGAGATGTATCCGTCCACTTCATGCTGCTCTGGACAGCTCTCAGACACTGAAGAGTCACAGAAGGGCTCCAACTCACGGTCTGCTGCCAACATGATGCAGGCTGGAGGCTCCTTAATGGGATCTAGTGCCATTGTTTTTTTGGGGGGTGGGGTCATTTTTGTCCTGCAATACAATTGTATGACTTTGTGACACTGGTGCAGACTCATTAAGGATTCATAATGTCACAAGGGTTGCAGAGTTGTACCTCTTTAGACCTCTATAAAGTCAAGTGCTTCAGGGAAAAACCTGAAACCTGACCCCTACATTTGAAATTGAACAAGGGACCATTGAACTATTTAAACGCTACAGGAAGTAGCCAATAGTTATTAAAGAGTAGCTTCTTGCTTTGTGTCCCAAATTCCCCAAATTTCAATTAAACTTTATTGTTTATATTTTGAAATGTTAATGTGGAATGAAATGTCAATATCATTCTAGTTTCATCATCACCAGGGGTTTCCTCTTAATCAATTAGAAAATTAGCTGAGGGATATTTAAACTTTCTTACTCATTTATTCTCTCTCTGCTATGATTGTAGTCTTTGCTGCTATGAATCGATCTACTAACACAAACAGGGTTGATGCCAAAGTGTCTTTGTGGTCGAATGCTAATCATCAGCATTCGTCCACAATTAAAGCTGGCAGAAAACACAAGCTTTTTATTGACATTTTTTAATTTTAATTATGTTCTATTAGTGTCATTTATGTTTTATTTTAAGTGCAGTGGTTTGTTTGAGACTTCTACCTCTCATTCAGACAATGTGGCGGGACTGTTAATTCACTTTTGTTACAAAAGAGTAACTTGTGAGTTCACTAACAACATTTCCAGAGCATTCACAGGTCCAATAAATATTAAAAGGCCAATTGATATAAGTCTTCTGTCGTGCATTTGTGGCTGCAGAATGGGCAGCTATGTTTGGATTTCCCCATTCATGTTTAACACATGCATATAAGCTTTAATACATACAGAAAAAATCTCCTTATTAATGACAAAATAAAATATATAATCCACTAGAAAATATTCTTTAAAACATGTTTTGTTTGACATCCACAAGGAGTAAACATGAACCCAATATTTGTACTAATTGTGTGTGTGTGTGTGTGTGTGTGTGTGTGTGTGTGTGTGTGTGTGTGTGTGTGTGTGTGTGTGTGTGTGTGGTGTGTGTGTGTGTGTGTGTGTGTGTGTGTGTGTGTGTGTCCTTGAAGACACTGCGGCTGTTGGGAAAGAAGCTAATCACTCAGACTAATTATATTAGCACTGATTGAAATGTCTCAGCACTTTTTAAGGAATAATTACAACGAAGCCAGGAAATGCAGCCTGCACCAATCCACAATCCTTAACTGTGAACTGGATTCATGCTGCTGCTGAAATAATTGACTCTATAAAACAAGCACAACACTTAATGGACGCTTCATGGTAAGATAACTGATTGACAATGCAGTTACAAACACATTGGGTTTACTGTAACACAGAGGGCAAAGGTTAAAGGGTCATCTCAGTATTGATTGCGTCTCATTTTGTCTGTAATCCTTTCCAGTTTTATGTACGGAGAGCTGACGGACAAGAAGTCCATCGACGAAGTCCGACAGACGTTTGACAACTATGAGTCTAACTGCTTCGAGATCCTGCTGTACAGAAAGAATAGTGAGTGCTCAATACATCACAACTTCAGCCATGTATCATTGTTTTCATTATCAAATACTCTGAGTGCTTACCTTAGCTGTAAATTTGATCTATAAAATCGAAGGAAATTGAAAAATACTACTCTTTTTTTGCTTTGTCAAATTAACAGTCTAAAACTGAAATACACTGAACTTCCAATAATTTAGAAACAGGAAAGCATAAAAACATCACTTTTCAGAAGCTCAAAACAGCACTTTTGAATTATTTCTCAATCTTAGCACTGTGGTAATATTGATCAGGTTATTTATTTTTTAACACAATACTCTCCTATGAGGCTTGTTGGTGCTCCAAAGTTATTTTGAAGAAGTAGAAGTGACAAGGTATTGTTTTCCTTGGCTTTTTTCACCTCTTCTTTCAAACATATTTTGTACAGAGCTGCTTTTCTGAAAAATAGAACATGTTTTTTTTCCCACATTTGAGTGTTTGGTTTATTAACTGCTTTTATCAGCAGCATTTCTCCCATTTGCAGGCAGCTTGATTTTTAAAGCCCACTATCTACTCAGCAGCAAACAACAGACACAGATAGTTAGAGACCAGTTAGAGAGAATTTTGCAGCTAAATAGTCTGATAGTTTCTTAAGAGATGGTGGAGATAAAAAATTGAACTAAAAGTTTACAAAAGTGTACATTGGACTCAATGCATCATGTGACTCTACAGGGGTGATCATGTTCTCTCTTACTGCTCAAAGCGAAAATATACAACTATGTTCTCAAAAGTTTGCCAAATAGGTGTTGATATCTCGACGTAATGTCTGCTGCTTTAAGTGGACAAACATTCAGTTAAAGCGGGTTCATCAACTAATTAATCCTTCGCTTTTTTAGTTGTTGTGGACAATAGAAATCACATCATTATCATTTTCCAGAATTGCTTCTGTTGTGTTGACAGTCCTATCTGAATTGAGCAGGACTAGGAATTATTAAGTATTTGAATTAAGTATTTGATTTTTTTTAATAAGTTATATTTTTTGTTTTGATTTAACTTTCTCTGGAAAGGACTTTTTGCACCATGTTCAAATTCCATTATTTTTTATTATCCATACCCTTCGTGTTCGAGGAACACGGCTAATATCCTATGCTGCATAATGGATAGATGTATGTACGATAAAATCTTTATAGGAAAACTATGAATGATTTAATAAATCCAAATGTATATTAAGTCAAACATATGAAATATATCTTTAACTTGACCTGTTGAAGGTATTCGTTTGAAGAGGTATAAAAACAGTAGAATCTTTAGTCAGTGTGAGAGAGCTCATACAGCAGTGAGGAGCAGAGTGGACAAAGTTTGCAGATGAAAATTCCCAAAGGTTTTGCCTCTTAGGAGCGATCACCTACGACGAGTGCACCATGCGAGGCGGAAGAGGCAGAAACGGTACAAATAAAAGATCCATTTAAAAAAGGCTCAATTTGCTGACAACTCTAGTGCTTTTATGGAGGCTGCATATAAATGAATTGATCTTGACTAGAAATAACTTGTATCCACAGAAATGATGAAGTAAAGTGTGTGAAACTTTGTTGAACTCTCCTAAAAGTGTGTGGGGAGGCAATAAAGTCACGGAAATCTCGGCTAGTTTGAGCAGGAGGAACGGTGAGTTCCCTAAAAGTGATGACCTTAGCATTAAGTTGTTAAAACCACATCAGTTATAATAAGTTTAGAAGCAACGTCATGTGCTATGGACAGAAGGAGAGCCGAAGGATCACATTGTTTCTTCTTAAAAATGATCGGTGACAGTTAGCTGAAGTCTTTTACTTTTATTGTGAGCACGGCGGGATTTGTTCTACAGAATAAAATCATCTTATTTAATGTATTAGTCCCCCAAATGTCATTTAACAGTTGATTTGTGAGGATACTGAAGCTGTGTCCACAATTCAAATAACTTATCACTTTTAAACACAACTTGAGTCTGCAGTTGTGCTTATTCTGGGAAACAATTTGAAAGAAAAGTAATCTAAAAAAATGTCACTATGATTAATTTAAATGTTGCTGTAGATACAGCACTACACTTCGGCCAATCGATGCAATGCACAAACATGGAGGACCTTGTGTTGTCGGGAATAATAAAACAAATCTGGTTTTTAATTTGTCAAAGTTATTTGTTAACTCAGAACAACATAACATGCAAGTAAAACGCAATGACATTTAGAATGTAAGTGTGGACATTAAATATGCAGTTTATCATAAGAACATGTTCAAATGTTAACAGAGATACTTAATTTGTGTACATTAACTCAAGAAAGTACACTTTGAAAGATGGGTCCATAGTGAATTCATGTCGGCCCATCATTGTTTGTTGTATGATATGTTCCTTAAGTTTGTTTTCAAAACTGATGTTATTTCTTGTAATATACTACAATTATGTGGAGTTTGAGTATTGTGTTACCATGTCATCGTGAACTAAGTTTTAGACTGTTTTGTTGGACAAAACAAAACCTTTAAAGATGTCATCTTGGGCTCTGGGAAATTTGTGATGGGCAGGCTTCACTATTTTCAGAGCTAATTAGGAGTTGAAATGTTCTAATGTCTTGCCTGGAGAGTCCGGTTTGGTTCTACATGCAAGTGGGCTCCCAATCAGGAACGAGAACGACAAAAGTGGTTCTGTTCCTCTGCACCTTTAAAGACATCACTCTCTCCAAGCAGCCCATTGAAGACGAAACCACTAAAGGTGAGTGCCTCTCTGCTGCCAAAAGCATCCCTGCACAAACGACAAACTCTCTCTGTGTTTCATTAAAGACTCTTTTTGATACATGCGTTTCATTATGAATGATACACAGAATCATTTCAAAGAGATAAAGAACAGAAGTATTTGATAGATTTGAGAACTTGATGATGCAGAGTACAAGATGAGCTGTTCACTGACTGTGACTGTCAGACAAGTGAAGAGTTACAGGCAGAAAAGGACCACTATGGGGATGATGTGCCATTTATGAGCAAATGGCTGGATGTGAGAGTATAAAGGAAGTTGGCTTCTGATAGGACATTTAACTAGGTTTTCTTCATCATCTTCCGTTCCGCTTGTTGTTCTTCATCTCTTGTCACTTCCTCCCTGGATGTTTTCATTCTCTGGATTTCTTCTCCTCCTCTGTGTATGTGTCTCCCGTGTTTGATTTGATTTGTTTCTCTTCCCTCTCATCTTCCTTATGTTCTTCTCAGTCGCCATCGTGATCTTTGTCCTCTTCTCTCCTCCTACCTATGTTATTTTTCAGCCCTGTATATGCATTTTTGAACACCAAATAACCAACATACTGGATGGAGTTTTGTGTAGAACAAATTGAAATAAACTTTATCGCGTTTTCATGATGATGATTTCTAGTAAATCCCTCCTTCCACCATTGTGTCAAAGTGTTATTTGTCCAGTTCAAATACCAGAAAAACATGTTGAGCTTAGTTTATGCCTATACTCTAAACATGGTCACAGTTATAGCTGTTACACATCAACATTGTCATTTTGAACATACTATAAGCACAACTGAGAGCTCCTCCTCACTGGCATTTTTCATACACTTGTTTTTGTATTTCTTTCTTTCCTTTCCTAGTTTCTCTTCCTCTTTCTCCTTCTTCCGAAACCGGATGACCCCTTCTTCTCCCTGCCCTTTTCCCCTCTGCGTTCCCTGTGAGAAGTCTCAGAACATTCTCCCTTTCTGGCATGTCTTCTTTCTCCACACTCTTTATTTCATGGCGAGCTGCGGCTGATAAAAAAAAGAGCGAGTCGCGTTTCCCTGTGAAGCGAGAACGTCTCGAGCTGTCAGCTTTTGTTTGAGGAGGTTGGGATGCTGCCAGGAATCACGGGAGATGTGGGTGGTGTTGTCTTCTGTGCCTTGACTGATGCACAAGTGTCAGCTTCCTGCCCGAAGAGTTGTTCTCGGCACCGCTGAGCGGGTGTGTTTGCCCTTTGACAAGGATCCCTCACCCTTCCCCCCTTTCATGTGCCACGGTACACTCAAACCTGTGTGTGTATACTCAAACATGTGTGTGCACACGCATACCACCGTGCTGCAGAGAGCCTGCCTTCAGTTCTCTTGTGATTTGTTTGGTCGTTCTTATGTTTGCTCAGTGACACGTGAATTAACATGGGTTTAACATGCAATTATAGAGCTTGACTGAAAGTCCATATTGTCACATCAGTGTTCGGACGTCTCTGCCAGCTAGCTGCTGCTTCCTGATGATGTGACAAAACTTCAGATTCGATATTTAATCCTTCGTGATTTGTAAAAAGGAAACACGAGTTCAGCAACAGTTCAATCAAAGAACAGGACAAAAGGTTCTCCAAGAACCTATCTTGCATTTCACTCACATACTGTACAGTTAGCCTTCTTGTTAGGTGATAATGTGGTCATTTAAAAAGTTAAGATATTGAGAATAGCTGTCCCAGTGTGACTCGTGATTAATTCTTGTGAGATTTTCAGACATTTCTTAAATTAAAGTTTTGAAAATGACGGGTTATCTGCACTATCAAACCAGCCAGCAAGGGAGGGACCTTTTCAAACATTGGTGGATGTACATTTTTAGATCCTTAATTAATTAAAAGTAAAAATGATTTGATCTTAAATGGTACATGGACTGTATTGATAAATTCAACAAGGTCATAAATTCACCCAATCACACGCCCATTATCATACAGAGCTGTGCCATTTGCTCAAATAAGCTAATGTTCAAAACACTGTTATCGTTCGTATACACGACATGTTGAACTTGAAGGGCTGGAAATCGAACCCACAACCTTCCCATTGAGGTACAACCGCACCACCTCACATCCACAGCAATGCCCGGCGCCGTGGGAGGGCCAGGAGGGCCAGCCATCCCATTTGATATTCCTGCCCTCCCCAATAAACACGTTTTTATTATTTAAAACTTTTTAAAAACGATGTATGTGATGTCAGATAGTAACTAAAAAAAATCGCAGGCTACGTCAAATAAATTCATGTGTCTGTTGTGATTTGTGATTCGTCCACATTTAGACCAATCACAGCGTCACACTCTGCCGCCTATTCTGGATTTCTTATTGTTTATTGTGCATTCTGTAGACTCCCATTTCTGTTTTGAATTACACAAAGGGACCAAAATAATGGAAAGCATTCCCCACACTAGCAACTACACCTCTCACGACATGCACAATGCCATAATAGAACTAACAGCAGTTCATCGTCTCCGTCTATTTCTCTCCGAGTGCAACGATGAGGAAGCTGCCATCCTTAACCAGTATGCACTGCGGCGTGATTTACCAGTGTTTGTGCTGCCACGCACACAAGTGTTTCAAAGTGGTTTCTATGTTGCCCTTTATTGTGTATGTATTTGCGATAAGTGTGCGTCTTTACGCAATGGCTGTTGGCCTTGCTGTTTGATATATATATTGTGCCGCAGGCCCGCAGCACGTGACAGTTTTGTTGTGCTCCTCCCATGCAAATCATATGGCCTCCCTTTAGATTGTTCTGGCCGCCGGGTCTGATCCACGAGTAGCATTTAGTACTTAAGTACAAAAGGGTTAGCGTCAAGATGAACTTGATGGTTAGCTTCAAAGAGTAAGCTCTCATTTTTCAGATGTAATATCTGCAGTGTTAAATAATGTTCTTTCGAAATGTCATTTCGGAATAAAATAAAGTACAGTTATGTCATAAACTAAATGTACTTAAAGTATCAAAGATTCATTATGGCATAGTGGAATTTTTTCCAGAAGAGCATTTAATGTTGCAGTTTCTTAACCTGACAGCCAATTTAATAAGTATTGCATCATATCATTTAGGCTCATGTTGTTTTTATATATAAAAAGTAACTATGAGGGGTTACAAATAAAACAATAATACAAAAATGTAACATGGAGAATTATTATACAATACCAAATGAATCAGTGTCAAATTGATATACAAGAAATATTACTGATTCTAAATCAATCAATCAATCAATGTTTATTTATATAGCCCAAATATCACGAAATGGTACATTTGTCTGCAGTGGACTTACAGTTTGTACAAAATATCAGTATGACAATACGACACCCTCTGTCCTTAGACCCTCACATCGTACAAGGAAAAACTTCAAAGAAAACCCCACAGTTTAAAGGGAAAATGGGAGAAACCTCAGGGAGAGCAACAGAGGAGGATACCTCTCCAGGACGGACAGACGTGAAATAGATGCTGTGTGTAAATTGAAAAGATAATACATTTGCAACATAGGTAGTCCAAATGTTTGGAAATTGCATGTGTGTATAATAGGAAAATGAATCCACGAGGATATCCATCCAGTGAGCCATATGATCCAGGACCACAGCCACGACTCACGATCCAGGGCTCGCGATCCAGGACAGACGAGCGCAGGAGCATCCATGACTCCGGATCCCGGCGGTATAGACACCAAAAGAAAGACATTTGGGGAAGTCTGGGTTAATCGGAACATGAGAGTACACAGGTATAGACAGAGAGAAGGAAGAAGTAAGATGTCCCCCGACAAACTAAGCCTATATCAGCAAAACTAGGGGCTAAATCTAATCAGCCCTAACTATAAGCTTTATCAAAAAGGAAGGTCTTAAGCGCACTCTTAAAAACGGATAGGGTGTCTGCCGCCCGAACACAAACTGGAAGCTGATTCCACAAATGTGGAGCTTGATAAGAAAAGGCTCTGGCTCCCATTGTACTTTTAGAGACTCTAGGAACAACCAACAACCCTGCATTCTTGGAACGCAATGCCCTAGTAGGACAGTAGGGTATAATGAGTTCTTTGAGGTAAGATGGCGCCTGCCCATTAAGGGCTTTGTAGGCGAGAAGAAGAATTTTAAATTCTATCCTGTGTTCTATAGGGAGCCAGTGTAAGGCAGCCAGAACAGGAGTAATGTGGTCCCTTTTCCTAACTCTGGTTAGTACACGAGCTGCAGCATTTTGAATCAGCTGAAGCGACTTGACTGACTTCTTGGTACACCCTGATAATAAAGAGTTACAATAATCCAGCCTTGAAGTAACAAATGCATGGACTAGTTTCTCTGCATCGTTTTGAGGCAAGATTTGCCTGATTTTTGCAATGTTGACGTAGATGGAAGTAGGCGGTCCTTGAAATTGATTTTATGTGGGCGTACAGGATAAATCCTGATCAAATAGTAACACAAGATTCTTACAGTCTCACTGGAGGCCAAATTAATGCCATCCATAGTTAGTATATCCTTAGATAATTTGTTTCGTAGATTCTTCGGGCCAAGTACAATAACTTCAGTTTTGGTCGTGTTTAACATCAAAAAGTTTAAGGTCATCCACGTTTTTAAGTCCTTAAGGCAGTCTTGAATTTTATTTAGATGATTAATTTCATCAGGCTTGATGATAAATATAGTTGATATCATCCGTATAACAATGAAAATGTACACAATGATCCTTATAATATTGCCTAACGGAAGCATATATAATGTGAACAAAATAGGTCCGAGCACTGAGCCCTGTGGCACTCCATGGCTAACTTTGGTTTGCGTGGAAGATTCATCATTGACACGTACAAACTGAGAGCGTTCAGATAGATAGGACCTAAAGCAGTTCCATGTATGCCAACTAAGTGCTCTAGTCTTTGCAATAAGATATCATGGTCGATAGTATCAAATGCAGCACTGAGATCGAGCAAAACAAGAATAGAGACACGTCCCTTGTCAGAGGCTATTAGAATGTCATTTGTGACTTTAACCAGAGCTGTCTC